GAGATTTTTTTTTTTTTTTGCAACAAGAATCTAAATGCGAAACGATGCTAAAGAAGAAAGAAAAAAAAAAAAAAAGAAAAAAAAGAAAAAAAAAAAAAAAACAAAAAAAAAAAAACTAGAGAAAAATCAAACGGAAAGAAAACAAACAAACAAAATACAAACAAAAACGAGAAAAAAAAAACAAAGAAAAAAAAGAAAAAAAAATCCTCTACCGATACATTTAATAATTATCAGTGAAAAGGGGTTCACGCAAGCGAATGAGATAAAAGGATAAATCGAAGGAAATCCGGATAATGTGCGTTTAATGTCTCTTTCTATTTTTCATCCAATACTCGCTAACACAAAATTAACTCTGACCCCGTCCTGTCCAGTGGAAAATATAGATAACCTAAAAACTATTGGATTTCGCTTAATTTCTCGTGTAGTTTCTCTCTCTCTCTTTCCCTCTCTCTTCTTCTCTATCTTTCTCTCTATCTCTGCGTATGTGTATGTGTGTGTGTGTGTGTGTGTGTGTGTGTGTGTGTGTGTGTGTGTGTGTGTGTGTGTGTGTGTGTGTGTGTGTGTGTGTGGTGTGTGTGATGTGTGTGTGTGTGTGTGTGAGAGAGAGAGAGAGAGAGAGAGAGAGAGAGAGAGAGAGAGAGAGAGAGAGAGAGAGAGAGAGAGAGAGAGAGAGAGAGAGAGAGAGAGAGAGAAAAGGGAAAATGGAAACAAACAAACAAAAAAACGAAAGAACACAAGACAAAAAAAAAAAAAAAATCCCGCTAACTCCCCCTTTCAACCCCCCTCCCCCCACCCCCCCCCGCGAAGCTAAACACCCGCCAAGAAGCCACTTATTGAAGCCTAAACTTGCGTGCGGTTCAGAAGGCCACACACAGCAACTCCCGATTAATTTCCACTTCCCTTCCCAACTTTCCTCCCCCGCCCCCCCCCCGTATCGCTGAATAAATAAATTCATAAATAAATAATTGCATAAACAAATTCATAAATAAATACATAAATAAATAAAAAATAAATATGGTGCCGGAGTTTGCTGCCGTGGAAAAGTTCGTACATCTTGCTGGATTTTTTATTTTTTTTTTTAATTTTTGGTGAAGTGAACATTTCTTTCGAATTATCATCATTAATATTATCCTTATCTTCATTACAATCACCCGAGGGAGGAGGGGCAGGGGAGAGGTGGGGGAAGGAAGGAATGAGAAGTGGTAGGGGTAAGGAAAGAGGAAGGAGAAGGGGTAATGCAGAAGGAGAGGGAAGGGGAAAAGGAGGAGACGGAGAGGGAAGGAAGGAAGGGAGAGAAGGGCAGGAGAGAAAGGAGAAGGAAGAAGGAAGGAGAGAGAAGGGGGCAGGATAGAAGGAGAGAGAAGGGGATCAGGAGAGAAAGAGAGAAAACAAAGGAGGAGGAGGGGAAGGAATCAGAAAGAAGGTAAAGAAAGGGGAAGGGAAAAAAGTAAAGAAAAGTAGGAGTATACACCAAGGAAAAAAGAAAAAAAAACTCGGAGCAAGCGAAAGCGAAGGAAAAGAATAAGGAGACACGGAAGCCCAGAAGCGGACGGTGCGAGGAGAAGAAAGCCACGCGGCGCCCAACAACGGCGATGCAATAACATATCCTCTTCTTAATACCACGTGGCGTTCCATTACACGATACGCCGCAGTCCCTCCTCGCGAGAGAATTAATGAGAGTGAAATATAAAAAAAAAATGGTCTGGGCGAGAATTTTATGCGGACGGAAGACAAATGTAAATAGATATACACTCGCGCGATTAAATCCGTTTGTGCGTGTATACGGAAACAGAGACGAGATACACGAGACTCAAAAACTCCCATACACAAACAACCACGCCAACTTCTCACAAATACGAACTTATCTCAACCCAAACACGAACAACACAAAGAAAATCTCAAAGATGCCTTCATTACAACCATAAACCACATTGTCAATTACGTCAAGATCCAAATTTTTGAGCGTGAACGAGAGAGAGAGAGAGAGAGAGAGAGAGAGAGAGAGAGAGAGAGAGAGAGAGAGAGAGAGAGAGAGAGAGAGAGAGAGAGAGAGAGAGAGAGAGAGAGAGAGAGAGACGAGAGAGAGGAGAGAGAGAGAGAGAGAAGAGAGAGAAAGAGAAGAGAGAGAGAAGAGAGAAAGAAAGAGAGAAAGAAAGATAAAAGAAAAGAGTAAGAAAGAGAAAAAAATCGAAGCACGTAAGAGCATTTAGCAACAAGAACAAGACAAAAAAAATCACCCTAATCTACCCTTGATTCATTCGAACGTGTAATAATAATAATAATAATAATAATAATAATAATAATAATAATAATAATAATAATAAAATAATAATAATAATAATAATAATAATAATAATAATAATAATAATAATAATAATAATAATAATAATAATAATAATAATAATAAAAAGGGAAAAAGAAAATGTTTTGGCAAGTCCCTGGAACTTCATGCATATATTACGAAGCCGGGCACTGGCATAATACCGCGCGTATTAACACTTTCATTCACCCGGTCTTTTAATTTCTTCCTCCCCCTCCCCCTCCCTCTTCTTGATTTCATGTACGTACATACACGCAAGCGACCCCGCACATACACACATTCACGTATAAACACATGCGGACACACACTCACATACGCACACAAACAAACATAGACACATACAGACATACAGACACACACACAAACAAGCAAAAAGACACATACACACATACGCAAACAGGCACATAGACACACATGCACAAAACAGGCAAATTAACACATACTGACATACACACACACACACACACACACACACACACACACACACACACCACACCCACACACACAACACGCACACACACACACAAAACAAACAAACAAACACAAACACACACACACGCACACGCACACGCACACACACACGCACACCCACACCCACACACACCACTACCCACATCACCACCCACACACGCACACACACACACACCCACACCTACACCTACACCCACACACCCACCCACACACACACCGCACAGACACACGCACACACACACACACACAACACACCCACACACGCACACACGCACACCCACACACACACACACACACACACACCCACACACACACACACACACGCACACACACACACACCCCAGCAATCCAAGTCAAATCTTCCCCCAAACTCTCCCAGTTAAGAATCTGCAAGGACAACTTAAGCCTGTCATATTTTGTTGGAAAAAAAAAATCTTCACTTTAAGAGGTGCTTAATGTCTCTCACGGTAATTAGAGGAGGCAATTTATGCCATTTAAGTATGAATGAAAAATGCAGGCACGTAATTGCTGCCATTTTCATAATTTGGGAGATTTCATCACCTATTTAATGCATACTTCAGACTTTTTTTTCTTTAAATAATACTCATTACAATTTTATTCTGGATCAGCGCATTGAAACCCAACAATATGGTCATCATAATCACTATGATGATGATGATGATTGATGATCACAGAAAAAGACTAAAAAGAAAAAAGAAATAGAAAAGAAAGATAAAAATAAGAAGAAACAAACAAAAAAACAAAAAGAAAAAAAAAAAAAAACACAAAGAACGACAAGAAGAAGAAAAAAAAAAAAACAAAACAAACGCACACACATCGCCGCTTTTGCATACCCGACCCCACCCCCCCCCCCCCCACCCACCCCCACCCCCACCCCACCCCCAACCCTTACTACCGAGTGCATGAACTTCTGCAAACTTGACAAATTTGCATTTAAAACTCGCCCCAACTCCTGGCAAGAAATCACATCCACTTGTAAAACTTGTTACCGGCATTCTTCCCGTCTTCTTTGCCCCTAATAAGTCTTTGAGACATTAAAAAGGGGTGAAAAGAGAGAGAGAGAGAGAGAGAGAGAGAGAGAGAGAGGAGAGAGAGAGAGAGAGAGAGAGAGAGAGAGAGAGAGAGAGAGAGAGAGAGAGAGAGAGAGAGAGAGAGAGAAAAGAAGAAAAAAAGAAAGAAGATATTTCCACGCGCTTCCCGGGACCAGATGCGCCTGAAATCAGATTGCAATTAATCCGGTCAAACTTGCAAGAGCGAAGGATGATCCAGATGAGGCGTTCCAACATTTCTTTTTATTTTTTTTCGTTGTTTCGTTGTTGTTGTTGTTGTTTCTAAATATTGTTCATATTCCCTTTCTTGGAAAAATATAAGACATCGCTATCAACAACAACAAATAACAATAACAATAAACAATAAACAACAATAATAACAACAAAAAAAATAACAATAACATTAACAATAATGATAATAACAAAAATAAGCAATAATCACAACAGTCAAGAAAACAACAACAACAACATAAAAAAATCACCCAAACCTCCCCAGAGTAAAACCCAACAGACCCCCCCCCCCAAAAAAAATCGTGGTCAAACCACCATTTTCTTCTCTCTCTCTCTCTTCTCTAAGTATCCTTTTCTTCCATCATCCACCTTGTTCGTCGCAAAAAAAAAAAAAATCCCGTGAAATGACTGCCGCCTCTATCGGGATGCAATTAATGTCACGGCAAGGAGAGAGAGATGGGGGGGGGGGGCGCTTGATTCCAAGATGATGGCGTCGAGGATGGGTGGGGTGGGGGAGGGAAAGGATGATAAAGAAGAGGGGGGAAGAGAATGTGGGGAGAAAGAGTTGAGAGGGGGAAAAGAGGGTGTGGGAGAGAGAAAGAAGAAAAGGATAAGGGGGAGGGATAAGGTAGGAGAGAGAGGGGTGGAAAAAGGCTTAACAACCCCCCCACACCCAACAAAAAAAGAACCTCCCCCATCCCTACCCACCCACCCCGAAAAAAAAAAAAAAAAAAAAAAAAAAAAACTAAGAACCCACCCAACCCACAGCGCCCGAGAAGATGCACGCCCGCCCGCCCGCCCGCATTCCCACAGCCGCAGAACTCGCCCCAAAAGCCGTACGGTGAACCTGCAGCCCCGCCATCGAGATCGCCCAATAGAACAATCACAATAATGTAAGTGTCGAGAAAATGTCCAACAGCTGCAATATTCTAGCGTTGCAGGATATTGCAATTACTCCGCGTAATAAAGCACAGTAATAACGGTGAAGAACAGCGGGGACGCCTGTCATGGTATTTCACTGCGGGGTGAGTGGTCCGGGAGTCACTGAAATCGGCTGGGCTCTCGGCTCCTCTCGCTCCATCTTGCGCTTCCACTATTTCTCTTCTTACTGCGTTCTCCCCCGTCGCATTCTTCAGTGTTTTCTTTCGTCGCGCTTCTTTATCATTTATCTCGGTATTTACTTTCTATCCTCTATCCTTCGTCTCTGTCTCTGTCTCTATCTGTCTGTCTCTCTCTCTCTCTCCCCCCTCCCTCTCCCTAATCCCCACTACTGTCTGTCCCCACCTCCTCCCCCTGTCCCCACCACTCCCCCACGAGACAATATCCGTATCCCTGGCCCCGAAGACACACGGAGGCAAGCCGAAGTCCACGCCACGGCAAAGGGAGTCGCGTCTGACACCTCCCTTGACACGACACGACACAAAGACATTCGAGGAGTGACGACGACGAGCGAGAATGAGGTGAGAACAGGGTGTGCTCAGGTAGGTGGGGGGGGGGGGGGGAGGGTAAGTGTTAACTGTCTCCCTGTTTCTTTTTCTTTCTCTCCCTCTTTCCCCCTTTCCCTCTCCCTTTTCCCTTTTCTTATTCTATTTTCCCTTTCCATCTCCCACTCTGGTATGTCCAGTTTCCTTACAAATTACGTTTGACAGACAGACGCGCATGACCCCAGAAGATAGGTATGCGTGCGCGCGTTGTATGTGTGTATGTGTGTGCGCGCGTGTGTGCGTGCGCGTATGTTTGTGCAGCACATCCCGCAACATATCTAGCAATCTCGCAAAAAATAATCCTCCTCTCTAGAAACAAAAACTTCCATGAGGAACAAAAGAAGAAGAAAAAAAATAGTCCCTCTTGTTGCGTCATCAGCCCATTTCATCAAGGACGACCTCAACGACCTGTCACGCGACCCCGACACCCTCCTCACCCTTTCCTCCTTCCCTCTCCCCCCCCCTCCCCCAGCATTCCTCCCCCCTTACCCCGTCGGCTGAGCTGGTACACGCCCTCTCATACCTGGCGAGTGCTTATTCCCCAATTAATAAATTCTCTTTCTATTGCATTCTGATCACCCGAGGTAGCTTTCCGATTAGTGGTTTTGAGAAAAAAAGAATAAAAAGTTCGAGAGAATAAAAAAAAGCAAGTTTGTGTCGGGAAAAAAATTAGGCGTCTGCATTTTTTTTTTTTTATCAACGGGGAGCGATGGCGGGGAAAGCATAGACTCGGATACTTCCACAAAAAGCTTCTTCTTGCTCTCTTTCTTACTTTCCTCCCTCCCTCCGCTCTTTCTCCTTCCCTACCTCTTCCTACCCCCCTACCTACCTACCTCTCCTCTCTCTCTCTCTCTCTCTCTCTCTCTCTCTCTCTCTCTCTCTCTCTCTCTCTCTCTCTCTCTCTCTCTCTCTCTCTCTCTCTCTCACCCATCGAGTCTGCCAGATAGCCAGACTGCCTGCCTGCCTGTCTGTCTTTGTCTGTCTGCCGATCTATCCCTTTCATCCGATCAAAGACAGGGAATATTTCGCGAACTCTCCCATTCTATCTCTCCTCAAAAAAAAAAAAAAAAAAAAAAAGAAAAATACTTCGACCGAAAAGAAGCAATACATTACATCGCCTTTTATGGTTTATATAAAAAGGAAGGGAAATGCTGCCCTGGGAGTCGAATATTTATTGGCATGAAGTAGTGGATATGATTTCCTGGACGAGTCTTTTTTTTTTACATTTTTATTTTCATCATCATTCCTATTCTATTTATCATCTTAATTACCATTACCATTAAGATTATCACACACTTTTATCATTAACATCATACCATTACATTTCACAATTCTATCCAAGTATATAGATAATTGTTGCACTAATCTATACGTAATTAATATATGATAGACTAAAAATAATAATAACCCGATTCTGATAAGCGGTTTTTGATCCTGAGGAAATTTTCAATATTCGAAAAATTCTTGCACAAAATTAATAAAGACAAGAACAAAAAAAATCTCATAAAAGCTTCTGAGGATCTAAGGGAAAAAGTTCTCTTCTTTACCTCATCCCTAAGACCCCCTCCCCTTCTACCCTCCCTCCCCCACTCCTACCTTCCTTCCCTTCCTCCTTCTTCTTTTTCTTCTTCTCCCTCTCCTTCTGTCCTTCCTTCCTTTCTTCCTTTCCCTACTCCTCTCTCTCTCGTCCTCTGTCTGTCTGTCTCTGTACCTCTCTCTCTCTCTCTCTCTCTCTCTCTCTCTCTCTCTCTCTCTCTCTCTTCTCTGTTCTCTCTCTCTCTCTCTCTCTCTCTCTCTCTCTCTCTCGTCCTCCCTTTCTCGCCTCTCTCTTTCAGCCTCCCCTTCCGCCTCCATCTACTCTTTTCTCCCCGGATCAAAAGACGATCCCTCCTTGTAAGGAACGGATTCGCAGACGGCAGACGCAGACGCACACACAGATTGACACACACAGACACTGACGCAGACACAGACACGCTGAACCCCCCCTAACCCTTCCATCCCCCCCAACCTCCTCCCCCGAAAATCAGGCGATCCATAACCAAGCGAGCATCACTGTAACAGCATCTCCGGCAACATCAGCACCACCGCAGCAGCAGCATCACCACCACCAGCACCAGCAGCAACATCACCAACATCAGCAACTTCACCAGCAGCAGCAGCAGCAGCAGGCAGCAACACACCAACAGCAGCAGCAGCAACTTCACAAACGCCACCAGCAGTAGCACCGCAGCAACGCCAGCATCAGCACCACCACCATCGCAGCATCATCACCAGCAACAACAGCGGTCGTTCCCGCAAATCATAAATAATATGGAATAGTAATATCCGGGACAACGGACGGCATTCGAGGGCAGGGCAGGGCAGGGCAGGGGGGGGGGGACGGGGGACGGGGAGGTAGGGGGTTAACAGCTGTGCCAATAAAAGTCCGCAAACACACACAACGGCTTCGCTATAACTCGCTCGGTATTCATAAGCCGACGGAAAGGGGAGGGGGAAGGGGAGGGGGAGGATGGGGGTGTTGTCTGTACGTTTCCCGAAAGCTCCCAAAGGAAACCGAGGCGGATATTTTGTTTATTTGTCTGTTTTTGTTTTTTGTTTTTCTTTGCGTGTCGCGTCGTGTTCGTTCTGAGGTGCTGGGGGTATCCTTCACGCGTGGTGGGTGTGGGAGGGTGGGTTTGTGGGCGGGTTGCGGGAATGTGGGTGTGACCGGTGGGTGTGGGTAGGTTGGTGGCTTTGTGTAAGATTCGGGGTTGTAGGTGGGGTGGGTGTAAGCGGGTGGGCTTGTAAGGATTCGGGGATGAGGGCGTGAGTGGGTGGGGTTTGTGCGGATTCGGAGATGTGGGTGTATGTGAGTGGGTGTGGGTAAGTTTACGGTGGGTATGAGTAGCTATAAGATTTATTCGTTGGCGAGCATGGGGACTGTTCAAGTGTAGGCCGACTGCACCCTCATCATCATAATCAAAAATACCGATAATACCAACACGAAGACAAACAACAAAAAAACACCAAACACTGCAAGAAAGGGAAGAGGGAAAAGAAGAAAGAAATCGGAAAGGGGGAATAAAAAGGAGAGTCGACGAAGGATAAGAAAAAAAAACAACCACCCAACACCACAAGAAAGGGAAAAAGGAAAAAAAGAAAATGGGAAAGGAAAAGACAAAAGGAGAGGCAACGAAAGAAGAAGAAGAAAAAGCAACAACCACCAAACACCGCAAGAAAGGAAACGGGAAAAGAAAAAAGAAATGAGAAAGTGAGAGAAAAAAGGAGAGGCCCACGAAAAAAAAAAAAAAAACACCACCACCCAACACTGCCAAAAAATTTCCATCCATTTTCAGCTTTCTTTTCGACTCCTTCCTTCTCTTATCCACTTCTCTTATCCGCTTCCCTACCTGTTGATTTGACTCTACCCTTTCTCTTCCTATCGCCTGAATCGATGACCCGCGTCTCCTTCATAAAAAGGTCGAGCTGGGTCACGCTCGTTCGTCAAAGGAAAACAAAGAAAGAAAGAAAAAGAAAGCAGGAAGAAGAAAGAGAGAGAGAAAAAAGGAGAGAGTGAAAGAAGATAAAAAAGAAAACAAAGAAAGAAAAAGAAAACAGGAAGAAAGAGAGAGAGGGAGAAAAAAAGGAGAGAGAGAAAGAAGGAAAGGAGACAAAAGAAGATAAAAAGGAAAAGAAGAAAAGAAAGAAAGAAAGTGGAGGGAAAAAGGTGAGAGAGAAAGAAGGAAAGAAAGAAAGAAAAACAAGAAATGGAAAAGAAGAAAGAAATGGGAGAGGGAGAGAAAAAAGGAGAGGCGACGAAAGAAGAAAAAAGGAAACAGAAAAAATATGAAAGGGAGAGAAAAAAAAACGGAGAGAGAGATAAATGGGAAAGGCTAAAAAGAAAAAAAAAGGAAAAGAAAGAAATAAAAAAAGGAAAGGGGGGAAATGAGAAAAAAAAGAAAAAGCGACTAAAGAAAAAAAAAGGAAAATAAAAAATAAAAAGATGGAAATAAAAATTTAAGACAAATCTAGAAAACACCAACAGAAAAAAAAAACAGAAAATTTAAAAAAAAAAAAAATCATAATCAACCTTATGAGCAAGCAGTCCAGTAACATTCCCAACTCCTGATTCTTCCCCTTTCCCAGACCTCTAAAGTCACCGAAACGGCCACCTCCCAGCAATCCGGTCCTACCACGAGAGAGAACTGCCGTCAGCATAACTCTCGAAAAGTGCTCGCTCAGTTACAATTGTGAAGCGAGGGTTTTAAACAACAGCACATGAACGAACACGGCGCGTCGAGACTAACACTAAACTTCGTCACAGGGGCCAGAACCTTTCTTCAATATATTCTTGGCAGAACGTGACTTTTTCCCTTCCCCCTCCCCCCATTTTTCCAGGGGCGCGCAACAATCAACCTCTGTCATGGGATACTGGCCGCGACTAT